GCGACACTAACAAAACACAGACGGTGAAGCTGTTCATTGAGCTTACAAAGACAGCGACACTAACAAAACACAGACGGTGAAGCTGTTCATTGAGCTTACAAAGACGGCGACACTACAAAACAATACCATATGAAGTCGAACGAAGTTAGGAGCATTGTTAGGCGTGTTGATTAAACATGTTCTACTTCAAAATACATGGACACACTTTACAATAACGTCACCATACAAGGACTATCCCAAATGTAACTTCATCATACCGGGATATACTTTTCCATGACGTCAACATATACGGACTAGCCATGCTTTAACTTTAACATACAAGAAGATGATTTCCAATAATTTAACATACAAGGACTTGCAAGGTTTAAACGCCAATTAACATACAAGGACACACTATACAATAACGTCAACAAACCAGGACAAACCATGTTTTAACTTCGACATATAAAGTGACACTTTACCATGACGTCACCATACCCGGATTAGTCATGCTTTAACTGACATTAAAAAGGTAACGCTATACAAAGTTTTAACCGCTATTAACAATTTTTAAGGTAAAATCGGCAAAATGATTCGAATCAATGCGAGGACAATAAATAACACGTGATTCGAGGGTGGAGGTCAACGTATTTACGTCGTGGTTGTAGTAATTCCAGGTAATGCCCTATAAATACATTTTAAACTTATACTCGGAAGTTATTGCGCATTCAGTTTACACAGACGTCTGCATTACAAATGAAAAAACCCCATGTGAAGTCGGAAAACCTGAGCATTGTTAGGTTTATTGTTTGAATATTACTTATTACATGTCGAGAATACGTTGTCCAAACCAAATAATTTTCTTACATTTCTTAAATTTTCTATAACCTTACGTGTATTATTTAGGCTATTGATATTATATGTTCATGAAACCCTTTGTATATAGGGTATATAACACTCAGGTCGACTGACCCGACCGTAAAATTATTATAGTTCCCATGACTGCGTATTGCGTCAAGAAGCGTTCTAGTTGGGCGAAGTTCCCTTGTACGTTATCCTCTGCACATGTGTAAACACCGTTTATAGGCATAAGTTTTTGAGGTATAATTATACCCTGCACAATTATTCCCTAACAATTACGGTACAACCTTTAGAGGGATCGCGCAACTTATTAAGCCTTATATCATCGCACTGCAGATCATAATTATCTGGTAAGTTAGTGTGATTTCGGAATCATTTTTTGTCTGTTGAATGTTGAGTACTTCTTGTGTAACGTTGTTATGTGTTCCTGTTATGAACACTGTCTTGTGTAACGTTGATATGTGTTCCTGTTATGTACACTGTCTTGTGTAACGTTGATATGTGTTCCTGTTATGTACACTGTCTTGTGTAACGTTGACATGTGTTCATGTTATGTACACTGTCTTGTGTAACGTTGATATGTGTTCCTGTTATGTATACTGTCTTGTGTAACGGTGATATGTGTTCCTGTTATGTACACTGTCTTTTGTAACGTTGATATGTGTTCCTGTTATGTACCATATCTTGTGTAACGTTGATATGTGTTCCTGTTATGTTCACTGTCTTGTGTAACGTTTATATGTGTTCCTGTCATGTACACTGTCTTGTGTAACGTTGATATGTGTTGCTGTTATGTTCACTGTCTTGTGTAACGTTTATATGTGTTCCTGTTATGTACACTGTCTTGTGTAACGTTGACATGTGTTCATGTTATGTACACTGTCTTGTGTAACGTTGATATGGGTTCCTGTTATGTACACTGTCTTGTGTAACGTTGATATGTGTTGCTGTTATGTTCACTGTCTTGTGTAACGTTTATATGTGTTCCTGTTATGTACACTGTCTTGTGTATCGTTGATATGTGTTGCTGTTATGTACACTGTCTTCTGTAACGTTGATATGTGTCCCTGTTATGTACACTGTCTTCTGTAACGTTGATATGTGTCCCTGTTATGTACACTGTCTTTATGTACACTGTCTTGTTTAACGTTGATATGTGTTCCTGTTATGAACACTGTCTTGTGTAACGTTGGTATGTGTTCCTGTTATGTTCACTGTCTTTTGTAACGTTTATATGTGTTCCTGTTATGTCCACTCTCTTGTGTGACGTTGATATGGGTTCCTGTTATGTACACTGTCTTTTGTAACGTTTATATGTGTTCCTGTCATGTACACTGTCTTGTGTATCGTTGATATGTGTTGCTGTTATGTACACTGTCTTTATGTACACTGTCTTGTGTATCGTTGATATGTGTTGCTGTTATGTTCACTGTCTTTTGTAACGTTTATATGTGTTCCTGTTATGAACACTGTCTTGTGTAACGTCGATATGTGTTCCTGTTATGTACACTGTCTTGTGTATCGTTGATATGTGTTCTTGTTATGTACACTGTATTGTGCACTTTGTAGATATTTCTATTGTATTGAACCATACACGAGATGAAAAGATAAGACTTGTTTGTTATGCGGACTATGTATTTAAGGGGACAAAAAAATAAAGTCCAGATAAATTAATACTTTGCAAATACTAGGAAGCTGTTCATTGAGCTTACAAAAACGGCGACACTACAAAACAATACCATATGAAGTCGAAAGGAGTTAGGAGCATTGTTAGGCGTGTTGATTAAATATTACTTCGTACAAGGACTAGCCAAGCTTTACTTCAAAATACATGGACATTCTTTACAATAACATCTCCATACAAGGACTACCTCTAATTTAACTTCATCGTACTGGGATATACTTTTCCATGACGTCAACATATACGGACTAGCCATGCTTTAACTTTAACATACAAGAACATGCTTTACAATAATTTAACATTACAAGGACTTGCAAGGTTTAAACGTCAATTAACATACAAGGACACACCATACAATAACGTCAACAAACAAGGACAAACCATGTTTTGACTTCGACATATAAAGTGACCCTTAACCATGACGTCACCATGCAAGGATTGGCCACGTTTTACGCTATACAACGTTTTAACCGTTATTAACAATTTTTAAGGTCAAAGTGGCAAAATAATTCGAATCAATGCGAGGACAATAAATTACACTCAATAAAACCCAATATCGATGAATGGAATTCCAGCCTCAAAGATAACTGTCGATACGAGGTTGTGTTTGCCCGTCTCCGGAAGGGCCATTTAAATATTACACATTCGTAGTTATGGAAACACGAGCACCAACCTCAATGCATAGCATGTCACGAACATTTGCAGTAAAAAGCTTGTTATTAGATTGTATTGACCTTGACATGAGATCATTTTTATAGTAACATAACACATCTCAAATCTCTCTTGGAAACAGTTAACGGTAATACACAAATTACGTACGACGGAAATGAATAGTGAATTGTTGGTATTGAATTAGACCGTCTGTACATCTTAATTGTTATTATTTATAGTTCTAAAACGGGCGATTTCAACCCGTTTATACTCGTCTTAATTAAGAGTCGTTCTCGGTCCAAGTTAAAAATTGTACTTGAGCATAAATGCGATTTTCATCTTGAACCGATGATGATTAAGTATAATGTAAACAATATATGGAGATCACCAGATCATAGACCGTGCATTCCGCCATCAAAAATTGTACCATCATCGATTTGCTTAAGGACGTACTCCTCTGTGAAGTTTAAAAATGCATTAAAAATGGCGACACATTGATAGTTTATGTGATTAATCTCGTGTAAAAACGTGTAATTTGGCCTTTCGTGAAGCCAAAGGAATGGACATTTTTAAAACTGCCGCCGAATTGGTCGTGTTTCAGGAGTTTTACAAACAGCATGCATGAAGTTTTTTGACACATTTTACAGATGCTTGTGAGCTTTAAAGATTTATCATAATATGTTAAATATTACAAATACCCTTTTAACGAGATCAAAACGAGACTTAAACGTTTTTGAACGTGTTTTTTGTTTTTGCCTGTAAACATATATATTCACAGAGGTTATAATTCAGGGTGTTTATATCAGGTGTATATTTAGTTTTGCCCTATCTTTGGTGTCCGTGAATATAGCAGAATTACATTCCCCTCAAATATTACCAACTATTCATACATTACAATTTACATTAGTTTTAATTTGTATGAATGTATTGTTATGTTTATCATGAGATTAAATGCTTACACCCCAGCTCAGTCCAACCCCCTTCCTAACTGAGGTTTGAGGTAAGAACAACTACTTATACTCTCTAACCCCTGTCCATAATTAAGTAAGATTTAAAAACCGTTTACTTAATTCCGGAACATTCACCAAACTTCTACCGAACCCCGATTTCTCACGAAGCAAATTACACAATACTTATCGCCAAGCCAAAAACAGAGGAAAGTACATAAACTTATCCTATACATCGCCATCTTAAGGAGGAATTAAACACCATAAAACATATCTCTTACCCAAGCCCATAAATACAAAAGAACATTATGCATTTATCCTATCTTGCACTCTATGAAAGAAAAGTGCACATTTAAATACCCAGCCATTGACGAAGGAAAAATACAAAATTCAATTTTCTTACCATTCAGCCCCCCCAACAGCCCCTAAATAAGGAAAGTATACAACATGTATGCCCTTACTGAGGATATTAACTTTATTTCCCAATTACCTAGCCCCAATTTGTGGTAAGTATATATAATAGTTATATGGCCCTATACAATACTTTCCCCCTACCCGTCCCCTAAATAAACAATGCTCGCCCCCCTGCCAATCATCAATCAACCCCTTATTGAGAAAAACATGTAATAACTGTCCTCTATTCGGCCACAACTGAGCAAAAATAGACTCGTTTTAGAACTATGTAAACTAACGTGTCAAAAATGGAAATGTTCTCATTACTAATGAAATTTCACACACTTTCTGCTTAAATCTTCAATAAAAAGAACAATTCTTTTTTGAAATAGTGTAATATTCGGCATCAAAATAACAGTTGGAATACGTTACACACAATGATGATATAATTTTATAGTAATTGTGTCATTTAAATGCTCTAGGAGGAATTGTATTATCGCACCTTTAACACCTAGACAGGTAGGTGTAAGTCAATGAAATCCCATTTATCATAAAATGAATTCTGAAACTAACTGTTCCTGCTTTAAGCTTCCAATACCCATACATTTTTGGAGCTATCTTGTTTTGAAATTTCAAGCGGGGGCCGACGCTATTGTTAAATCTCCATAGGCGTTGACCCTACCTTTGAAATATTTCAATATTAATTATATATGAATTAATATATATATTGAATATATCCATTCTGTAGTCCTTGTGTTGCTGATATGACATATGATAAGATAAAATGTGCTATTTTTTTTTGTAATAATTATGTACTTTAAACATATTAAAATAATAATATGAATAGTTATAAAATAAAACTTTTCTTTATTATTATAACATTTAATAAGATGCCTAAATACCTAGTAAGAATGGTTATGTATGACTAAGAGTGTGGTTTTTAACAGTTGATAATTAAACTTTAAAACAAAAAGAAATTAATTTAAATTCCTAGATGTTAGAAGTATATCATAACTATCATAAGAGTCATTTAATAACTTCATTTCCATCCTTGTGAACTAGAAGTGATCTAGGCCTATGCTAATTAGTGAGATAACGAGAACGCAAATTTACAACAAAAATGTGTGACACTTGACTGTCGGACTGTGGTGTATATTTGCGATAATAAAAGTTCTTCTTTTTTGCTTGGCCCTTTTTATTATGATGCAACAATCCCACATATTTTGTATATCGGCATCATTTGTTTGTGTTTGAACAATAAATACAATCACTAGTGCCAATTGAAGGGTGAAATAATTCATAAATATCTTTTAAAATGATGTCTGATATTCAAAGGGTAGCTGTACTGTACACGTGCACAGGAATTTTATGACATAATTCCTTAGAAGATATATCAATATGTATGTTATTAAAATGTCAATAAAATTTTCCATTGATTTGAAATATATTTTAATTTTTAATTCAATTTTAATTAAGGAAAAAAGATCACATCCCTTAATATTAAAAAAAGTGATTCGGAACGTTGATTCGAACTTGCATCGTTCACTTCTTCTCGTCATAAGTAAACTGCGTTACACACTCGGCTACATCGAACATACACTAATATGGAAATACAATCTGTTTTAATCCAGGAAACACCTGTCTCAGTTTTGAGAAACTTTATTAACAATGTTTTTCAATATTTTGAGCACTTTTCCAAACAGCCAAAGGTGGATTTAAGTCTGGGAAACCCCATCACTTTCATAGATATAATGAATATGGCTATACTTACAGTATTACACTAACAATACCTAATATCTCGGCAGTTCAAAATTCATATTCGATTTGTTTGATATCTATTCAATGCATTATCGCTGATAGAAATTATTTATTCATTAATTATTGTTGTTTTCTGTATTCATAAATGCCGACTTTGGGAAATTTGGGCAGTTTTGCCTGTGGAGTAAGTATGAAACAGACTATAATTGGTTTGCCATTGTCTTCCTATATCAACACTTTTCTTTGTTCTATATACATTGAGGGAACTGAGAACACACTCTTATCCCATATCCTGTCCCGTGATTAGAGATCTAGTCCGCTAAAACTGACTTTAATCACTGCTATCGATATATTTTGAACTTAAATAAAGAGATTTGTGACGGAGAAAGATGTAGTGGGAGCTTCATATAAATAAGGTATTTTTCGCTTACCTGACACACGCACACTTATATCACACGTTCATGCCCTAATATGACATCTTATGGACGCTACATCGTTTAATTCGAATGAGGTGTTCAAAACAAACTTGCTTGAGTCCCCTGTCGTTTGCAGATGTGTATAGTGTACAAGTATATATATTCTCCATTTGCTCCAACAATCCAGATTAACTCACTCCTAGCTCTTTGGATAACCTACATGGGTGGTAAACGTTTTTGGTATCCTGACGTGCTTTCATCGGCCCATCAATAATTATAACACCACGTACACCGAACAATGCTTTCCGCCGTTATCTTTCATTATGAGAGTATGATTCATGGAATTTTTCCAGATAGGAATCAAAAGTAAATATAATTTTAAGGGATTTATATGAGTTTGTAAATATAATATACCGTTATCAGAGAAAAAGTACTCCAAACTGGTAAGTGGTGGTTATCATGCTTATCTCTCATTAGATAAGTTTCAAATTGTAAATGGCACACAGTAACCTAGGCCTCGTTCCATGATATTAGACCTTTCTCATTTTTGGGTACAGCTAGCACGGAGCGTGGAGACAGAGACCTAGACAAGCAAATACAGAGGTCATTTCGAAAATAATTTCATATGGAACGTAGCGAATAGGGTATGTCAGAGTGTGTACACGTACATGTACGTGACTACAGGCAAGCGAAAAGGTAACCTCATATGGTGACACATATGTCTCCGCTAAGGATCTCACCCGGGACATCTGTTGAAAGAAATTCCCCGAGCAAAAAACGCCAGTGGGAAGAAATTGGTATTCTACCAGAGTGACAGGGATCACATATACTTTTGAATGTTTAATTTACCATCCACAAACTTCCGATGACACGATATTTCCATATTACGAAAGAAATAGTTAACGCTTGCACGGTGTCTAATTTTAATACCGTTAAGCTGAAGATACTTGTTCCACACATTTTCTTTCGTCTCTTCGTTCCTTTCGCATTTTCGTATAAAGAGTTGTGGGACGAAAGAACGCTTATGAGCGTCCCTTCGCAGCAAAATAATTTGAGTGAATTTTCTGAAAAAAATCCAGTTAGGTGAGATCAGTCAAGAGAAGTTTATCAATTGCACATGTAATGAAAATCAGGGGATGTAACTGTAGATAAGGAACACTAAAAGATCGTTCTCTAGTGTTTAAGTGCAAGCAGGGGACAGGATTCCTTAATATAGATGAAATTAAAAATGATTTTGAGATGTTCCCTAATTTTCCTACTCTCAGTGTCCGTCTCTGGCTCCGTAATAGGTCTGCCCCAAAATGAGAAATGTTTAATAAAATGAACTAACTCGAGTTAGGTAAACATTTGAGTTGTCACTCAATTGTTTCTAAGCTGATTGAAGGTACATGTAATTGTTCAATAATGGATAAAAAAAAGCAAAAAAAATTATACAGCCTATAACAAACAAAGTTTGTCATTATGCTATGTTTTGTTCCAAACCGGTAGTATTTCGCTGTTACAGCAATCTGATTAATGAGGCGTCGTCATTTTGTTACAAGTTCGTTCGGGCTTCTCGTAATTCTACACTGGACTAACGGCAAGTCTAGAAAAAAAAAATCGAAATGATCTTTCCACTTTCCGAATCTGGTAAACTATGATTTGATTGGTTAATACAAAGGTATTTTAATCAGATTGCTGTTACAGAAGTTTCAATGAACTGAGTTTAATAAGTATACGTTTTTGTAATGAGGCTTAGAGTCAGAATTTAATAACTTATTTAAATGCTGTTTCTCTCTTTTAGGTAACCATAATATACGATGGGCAGAAAACAAACCCGTCACAATGACATGGTATTAGCTTTAGGCCAATTGATCGCTCCAGGAATGGATAGATGGACTGAACTGCTTGACCTCTTCACAAATAATCCGTTATCAAAAAGGGAAATCAAAGAAACTGATAGCATGCAAACATTATTTGAAAAATTGGTTGACTATGAAGAAATTAAAGTAGGTGAATATGGAAAAGTGATAAATCTACTGCAATCAAATGGAAAGAAGCAATTCAATGGCCTTGTGAGGACAATGAAACAATGCCAAAATGACATTGAAGTAATGGAAGACGGTAATATATATGATTTACGTTCTTATACTCTTTACTTATTCTATACACATGACTGAAAATTCCATGGATAAGGTAATACACAATTATGGACTTTTTTGATGGTGAATATGATTTGACATGAGCCTTAAAAGTGTTATTGAATGAAGCAATACCGAGAAACGAGGATCAATATCAATTATCCAGGTTTGTCTCAAAACACATTTACTACCTAATCTCGTTTATCACATATATGCTTCAACAATGAATTCATTTAAAAAAAAAAACAGTACATCTTTTTCACTTGGTAGTTTGGAAGGTTTCAAATCAAACATCTCGGCTAAACAAATACAATACATGCTGACGAATGCAATATAATTTTGATGTGAAACGATTACCAAAAATATAATAAGCTTTTCAAATAATATATTTATAGTTTATTAATGATAAAAACATGATAAAACCTTAATGCTATTTTTCGAACTTGATGTTCACCGGAAAACTGGCCCACATGTTTTTTTGAGAACTGGTCATGTGTATGGGATCCTGCAAATGGGACTGCAAGAAATTATCATGTATGTAATAAAGCAGTAAGGTAAGCTGATAATGGGTGATGCAGTATACTATTGACAATTACTCATGACAATGTTTGGGCCACAGTACCTATTAATTCACTACAAATATACTCAAATCATATCTCAAATCGACGTGTCAAGTGTTATGATAAGTCGCAGATAAAACCGTCACAAAGTAGGGAACAGTAAGCTTCTTAACCTATATATTCGATTATAGCGGTAAAAAAAGTTTTAAACGTACATGTGACGGTAATATATTTATATATAAAACAAAACACGGAAAATAAATTTTGCTCTAATGTCCGTGTGACGGTAAAACATATAGAAAACAAAAAACGAAGACTAAATTTCGCATTTACCGTCACATGGACGTTTAGGCGAAATTTAGTCTTCGTGTTTTGCTTTATATATATATTAACCGTCACATGGATATATAAGCGACATTTAGTCTTCGTGTATTGCTTAATACATATTAACCATCGCATGGACATTTAAGCGAAATTTAGTCATCGTGTTTTGTTTTATATATTTGCGCTTATATGTGTAGTTTTTTTGCCAGTGTGTATTCATGATTCATGATACTTATTGTAAAGAAGTAATTCCTTGTTAGCGACATTGGTTATGAGTAGAATTGGCAGCGTTAAGGAAACAAGTTTGACCCATGCATTAAATAGTTGTTCGCAATTGGAATATTTAAACATCCATGTATATATATGTATGTTCAAACATAGTTGTTCGTGATTTGAAGTTCGATATAAAAATCATCACAACGTTTCATATATGTGGAATATTTCTTTTATAAGTAATTATTTTACATATATTTCCAATGGTAATAATATATTTTAACTTAACGGTACTCTTAACCTTAAGTTCTTGATTTATATTTTTACGTGTCAAAATTAGGTACTGATTTTGTTTTGGTGTTTTCACACTGTTTTTTTCTTATTTAGTGCCGAGTAATCAGTTGACGTCTGATTCTGATAGCAACACGGGGACAACAATGCAGAGCGATAGGGGATCAGTATCTTCTGAATTCACACCACAAAACGGTAGTTCTTGTTATGATTTTTGTCATCAGTCATCCTAACACGAATTCTTCGGGAGGGTCGAAATTAGCTAAGTGAACTAATTTCAAATTGGTAAAGACCATGGGTTTTGTCTACAGGCTGGGGCATTTCCAAGTCATATACGGTTCAACCCATCGCCTACAAGATGCTCTAGTCATCAAGAATTCCTACCTCCTGATTAGTCATGTTTAGAGACATCAATTACAAATCGAAATGTAAATATGTAATTTGAATATATTGAATTTATACATTAGCTATCATTATGGAACAATACGTCGTTAACAAAATTATAGGCATTAGGGCTAATGTTCTCGGACAAATATCATTTACTGGAATTTTCAGATTCATTAACAAACAAACTTTACGTTACGAAATAAAATCTTATCCAAAGTTCATTTATATACCTAGGTCATGTGGAGTATAATTCTATTTTACTATTAGTGGAGAGGCGTACTAGCCGCAAACCATGATGGCTGTCGCTTAGGATATTTATCGATATGCATATGTTAAACTAAGGACCTCTTTTCATAAAGTGAACTTTCGTTACATTAAGTGTTGATAAATAAAATCGAGACATGTTATAAACATTATAATACCTATCATTTAAAATGTTTATAACGTGTCCAGCGCAATTATATTATCACCGAATTGGCATATAACCTAAATTTCATTTATCATGTGATGTTATAAAATAGATCGAACAGAACGTAAAATTTATTAGCTTTGAAATAGGATGTGACTCCTTTGTAATTTTCAAAGGACAGGTATCAGCCTAGCAATTGGTCCGGTTTATTTTTACCACAGACCAATCAAATAGCTAACTTCGTGCCTTCAATTATATTACGACATATTCCAGGAGTGCAGAGAGCGTAAGTGAGCGTACCCCGTGCAGTATTGATGATGCATGACAACATTCATTTAGATATTTGAGTTTGGTACGTCTCTCCACAGCGGGGAAAAGTGAAATTAATCAGCATGGTATTTCACTGATAGCATTACAATAGAACACTATTAAGTATGAATCAGATCCATGCTATCGTAAGGAGGCATTCACACCTACATACCGCCTCCAGCACACCTACACACACGCATTACACATATCAAGGCACATCTTTAGAGGACATAAGCTGTTAAAAAGAGGCTTAACCTTATTAAATCAAACCAATTGCTGAAGGAAAATTGAAATTGAACGTTTTCAATCGGTAACGCTATATTTATGAGTTCTCTTATTTTGGAGAAGAACTACAGTATGTTTTAGTCTTTTTAGTTTATATCAGAAAATGTTATGTTTGAGAACAAAAATCAGCGAAAAAATATATGATGATGAGTGACAATCAAACGCAAGTAATTTATACATATGCCCCCGTTTGCATAGTGAAGTTTAAAGTTTAGGATTCATCCTAAAGACACTGTGTAATTAACATTGTACTATTTTATTGTATTTTTAGTAACTGCAGATGGTCCTTCCAGCGACAAATATCCTACGTCATGTAAGAACTAGAATTCGGTTATATATGTTCGGTTGTAGCTTTCGCACATTGAGAAATTGAAACTGATGGAAAATTGAGTGGTGTACACTAATTATATATGCATGTTATCTGATATTTTAGTTGAGAATAAAATGTATGTGTCAAGGGGCTGATAAGCCTCAATAAACAAACAATCTGATATTTCGATGATGAGATATTTTCTGTCACATTCATCAGACAAATTACCAAAAAAGCGTATATGTACACTTCGGTTTCAAAGGTGTATAGATGACTATTAAATTGGCCAGTCAATTAATTTACACTTTAGACAGATGTGTATTTAACCACATAAACAATATGGAACATTAATCGTATATACATAATGAGAGCGGAAATGAAATAAAAATATTTCGATTTATAGTCACGTGATATAACAGGTTTAAATTTCAGATCTCAAGCGCGAGACTCGTGGAAAAAGAGGATTGATGGTCATATTCAACTTCACTTTCAAAGGCAAAGATTTGGAAAGACCACGTAACTAATACTTTATTCTTGAAAGATATCGTTTTAGCAATTGAAAACAATATTATTAAAACATTCATAGCACAATGTATATGCTTTATTAGTTTTTTTGGTGATTTGATCAATGCACTTGTAAAGACTTATTCTTACTCGTAGTCATTTTTAATATAGAAAATGCCATCTTTGTCATTGTTAAATGAACATATATAGACAAGATATGGACAGATATGTTTTCTGTATATTGCGATTTTATATATACATTATGTACCTGTTTCATATCCTTTAAAAACAATGAGTCATTCAATGTCAATATATCTTCTTTTTTTTCAACGAGTGAAATTAAAAGAAAATAAATATTAATTTTTCAATCATGACTAAAAGACAAAAAACAACACTATTATAATACGCAGAGGCTCCTGTCGACAAAAAGTATCTCCAAGATTTTTTCGAAGCCGAACTGGGATGGGACGTAGAGTACCACGAAGATTGCGACGAAGCTGAAGTAAACACTCATCTCAANCAGAGGCTCCTGTCGACGAAAAGTATCTCAAAGCTTTTTTCGGAGCCGAACTGGGATGGGACGTAAAGTACCACGAAGATTGCAACGAAGCTGAAGTACAAGAGCATCTCAAAGAAACAAGGACCATTCTGAAGGACGACAAGTACAACAATGGATCATTCAAATATTATTGTCTGTTTGTTGCAGTGATGAGTCACGGCGGTGAGGTAATTTCAATAGGACGAACGAGGTTGTACAATTTATCAGCTGATGATGCATTGGTCCTTATTGTTTAATTCAGCAGAAAATTGAATCTCTGGGGCCTTAATTACGATAAAGTTGTTCTTTTTTTCCAGGAGTATTTCCTAACCAAGGATGAAAAAGAATTCAAATACGCTGATGTATTTAGCGAGTTCACAAACGGAAAGATACCCGAATTTGCAGGTAAGAAGAAATAGTTATATGATTATTGAAAAAATAAATGTGTCACTTCAAAACAAAATATCATTTTATTGGAATTATTGATATTTACAAGAAGCCCATAGCTATTAATCATGATTCCATTATATGTTTTAGAATAACGTTTTTATTTAACAAATATGAATAAAAGATAACAACTTCATTAAGTGGAAACTGATAATGTATCATCGTAACAGTTATTTGATTGACTGAATTACCTTAAACTCCAAAGATGTCTGTCGCATTACTTTAGCTCAACGATAACTTAAGATCAAGATATGGTTACTGTGACCTTAATATTTGACCTACGACCTAAAATATCGCACAAATCATTAGTTTAGTGGAATGTGTCAGTCTTTCATGCCGAAAAATTATCAACATATCATGTGTAACGTGTAGGACGAAACCTATTATCCATACTGAAGACGGACAGAAGGAAGTCAATACAAAACAATAACAGCTACAAAACAATGTCAAAAGTTCAAGACAATCCAACACTTTTTACATATTTTGTTTTAAAATTCATTCTTGGCTGGTATTTACCTGCACAGCGTGATAAAAACAGGTGGGCGAGGGAACAACAAGACGAGATGGTAACGAGGGTGCCTCATTTCTGACACAGGAGGCATGTCCACCTTATTGCTCTCTGGCATCACTTATGAGTCCCAGAAGTACGAAACAGCTATATGGTGCAGTGTAATTCATTATTGGCATACTGTATCTGTTGCTAACGTTTATCGTTGTAATAGTGTGTGCGTGTCTCACGTTCATCTTTCAAGCTTTAGTAAGATGTTAGAACAGAGAAGTGGTGTTAATATGCAGTAAATTAGTATTAGTCAACTCTATATTAGTTTAAAAGTGTTTCAAGGAATGTATTTTGTCTATGATAATTTGTCGCTTAGGTTGTTATTTAAGCATTGAACTGTAGCGCATTATGTTGTTTGCTTGCAAAGCTGTGTCATTCAAA